ATGACAGGATCTGCGCATTGTGTCCCACAAATCGCGCAGTGCTAAGCGGTAATGTTCTTTCAGCGTAGACATCGCACGACTGCGCAAGGTCTACGCAGATTTCGAATCTCTGCGTAAGCGGCATCGGTATCATTTTGGATCATGAATCGTTTCTCTTCGAAGCGCGAAGGATGAGTATTCCAAGTGTCGTCAAGTCTGTGTTTTTTTTCATGGCGATCGATGCGCGGCTCATCATGTTCCCTCGTGCGCGGGCAATCCGTTCCGATGGGTTTCTCGGGCAAGATTTGGAACCACATCGCATGTTGGAAGACTCAATGGGAATGGGGGCATTACCTTTTGCTTGACCACGCTGCCTCGAGCATCGAATCATCCTGGAGATTCGCCGCCACGGAGCTGCCTGGGGCGACCCCGCGCTCGCTGCAAAAAGTCGCCCCAGTCACCGCGGATTTGACCACTCCCAACCATCCTGTGGCGTTGGGTCCTCGTTTTGAAGAGACAGCGCCCCGCGTCCCACCTCCTCTCCTCCTCCTCCCCCTCCTCGCCCTCATCCCTCCTCCCCCTCCTTGCCCCTGCTCTCGGCATACCCCTCACACGCTTCGTGGCCCCATAGGGAGCTCCACCGAAGGTCCCAGTGGCACAGCCCGCATGCGGTTCCCCCACCCAGGGCAGCGTTTCGTAGCCCTATAGGGAGCTCCACCGAAGGTCCCAGTGGCACAGCCCGCATGCGGTCCCCCCACCCAGGGCAGCGCTTCGTGGCCCCATAGGGAGCTCCACCGATGATCCCAGTGGCACAGCCCGCATGCGGTCCCCCCACCCAGGACAGCGCTTCGTGGCCCCATAGGGAGCTCCACCGAAGGTCCCAGCGGCACAGCCCGCATGCGGTTCCCCCACCCAGGGCAGCGCTTCGTGGCCCCATAGGGAGCTCCACCTAAGGCCCCAGTCGCGCAGTTCGCATGCGCCCCCCCTCCCCCCCCCACCCAGGGCAGCGCTTCGTGGCCCCATAAGTAGCTCCCCCGAAGGTCCCAGTGGCGCAGTTCGCATGCGTCCAGTATTGCGTTTCGTGGCCCCATAGGGAGCTCCACCGAAGGTCCCAGTGGCGCAGTTCGCATGCGTCCTCCCTACACCCAGTACAGCGCTTCGTGGCCCCATAGGTAGCTCCCCCGAAGGTCCCAGTGGCGCAGTTCGCATGCGTCCCCCCCTCACCCAGTACAGCGTTTCGTGGCCCCATAGGGGGCTTCCCCGAATGCGATACCCACAACTGCATATAGTTGGGTCTTTCGACAGGCTGATTGCTCGATCGAGCGCAACACTTGTCAGTTTAAAACAGCCAGCACACGTATACCAAAGCGCCCGAAGCCAAAATATCAGCCCAACGCCGTTTGAAAGGATGCCAACGTCATCCGCTGGAAAATACTTCACGATTTGCGCGACCGCGCGTTCCCCACTCCCGCCTCTTCCTTTGGAGAGTGGTTCGCCACCGTCGTAGAGATGCCATTGGCGCAGCGCGTGCCCTGCAGAAATAAGCGCGACATGTTGCGCTGCCGAAGAATGACGCTCGGTTTGCATGAAGTTCGCGTCTTTCACGTTCTTGGTCGCTACGCCGTCGACGATCGCCACGTCGCATATCCCGTCCAATTTCTGGCGCGCTGAAACAAAACTGCCGGATTTCATTTGATATTGCAGTGGCCTCCGGCCAACGCCGCCGACCCAGGGCGCCCCCGACGGTGCTCGGGTTCGCTTGGAGGGCCACGGTTCCGTCGTGGGGCCGTCGTAGGAGGAGGCCTCTTGAGGGGGCGTTTGAGCCTTTCGGGTGGTTATTGGAAGCCCTGTCGGCTGTCTCGGGGCGCCCCCGGCCCGTCGGGCGCCGTCGGAAGCCGGCCTCGCCGTGCCGCCTGGGGGCGCTCTGCGGGCGCTTCAGGGCAGTCTTGGGGGCTATCTCGGTCGCTTCGGGACCTTATGAGGCCGTTTGGGAGCCTCTCGGGGCCGTCTCAGGAGCCATTCGGGCCGTCGCAGGGCAATATTGGAGGCCTCGGGGGCGATCTGGGGCGCCTCGCCCCAGCGCCGCCCGGGCGCGGAGCGCGGGCGCAGCAGGCCCCCCGTAGTTGGAGCTCAGGTCGCAGGTTGTAGCTCCTAGGCTTTTTGAAACTCACGCGCCAGATCGGCGCATTTGATGCCGTGGATTTCCATAATCCCATCCGTTCGGTCACTGCTTCTGGTGCGCCGTGGTCTTTTACGCGGGTCAAATCGCGAAGAAGTCGCGCCATCGCGACGTCTAAAAAACTGATGCCTCGCCAAATGGCATTGAATAATCAGTGGGCGATGACGCACGAGATTCTTGAGCGCCACCCGCGCGGTTCCATCCTGTTAATTCAGAATCGGCGCAGCGGTCACAGCGGAGAAAGAGGAGAACGGAACGGGCGCCCGGAAAAAAAATAGACAGAGCAAGCACGGCACGGCAGCGCAGCCAGAGGCACCACAAGCGCATAACGCTGACATGAGTAAAGGACAGAGAAGGCGAATTCTGCCAATAAGATACGTCGGCGAGACATTCCAACACTAAACAAGCAGCAAAGGGATGATTAGAAGAGCGGCGTCTCGATCTCCCACCAGCCCTCGGAGCGGTTGCCCTTCATAACTTCAACTCCGTGGCCATTTTGGCTCAAGCAGTGTTCTGCCGCCCCCCGCGGGGCGCTTGGGCGACGGCGGCGGTCGGGCCCCGTCCGCGGGGATGCGCGCGCGATGTTGGCGGCCCTCGGCCCGCGCGCGCAGGCGGCGGCGGTCGCGGCGGCGATCCGCGCTGGCGCGGAGGCGCCGACCGAGCCGGCCCCGTCGCCCCACATCGTGGACGGCGACAAGGCGCACGAGTGCGAGGAGAAGCAGGTCGCGGACCTCAGCGGCTCCGACGAGGCGCGGAAGGAGGTCGACGCGCGCCCCGGCATGGCGCGGCCCTTCCCCACGCGCAGGGTCGAGCAGAGGAGCGCGACGTCGGGGCAGAGGGCGCACGGGAACGCGGCGCTGAAGGACGGCCCGGGCGGCGGGATCGACGCCCCCCCCCATGGCCGCGCTGGAGGCCAGGCGTCGCCAGCGCGGAGGGCGGCGCCGCACGCAGGCCCTGGACAAGATTCAGCGCGAGTCGGAGGATAGCAAGGCCACGGACGAGGCGAAGAAGATCACCGCCACGAACGACCCCGCGAAGCTCATGGACGCGGAGGCCTGCGCGGCGAAGGCCCAGGTGATCGTGGAGACCGAGAAGCTGGAGGCCCCACCTGGCCTGCGGCTTTGGGGGGCGCCCCCGGCGTCGCAGGTCGCGCGCGCGGACATCTCGTTCCTCGCCCAGCGCGGCGTGGCCCGCGTCGCGACGGTCGCCAGGAAGTACGAGGTCGCGCAGCAGGCGGAGGCCTGGCTCGACGCGGCCGCCGATGAAGTAGTGGTCGACGGCGTTCAGGCATGGGGGGCGAGCGCACTGCGCTCATGGCGAAGCTCGGCTTCCTGCCTTAGAAGGCGGCCATGTCGCGAGTGCCGCGGAGGCTCGTGCCCTCCTACGACGCTCCTGTTTCGGCGCGGAGGCTCGTGCTCCTGCCGCGCCCCGCCTGGCGGGCGGAGGCTCGCGTTCCTCCGCCGCCGGGGCCTTTTCGCGCGGGCGCTCGCGTTCCTCATGCGCCGCTGCTGTCGCGGAGGCTCATGTTCCTCCTGCGGCAGGCTCCCCGGGGTTGCGGAGGTTTTCGCTCCGCCCGCGACCCTCGAGATTGCAGGAAGTCCGCAGGTGGTCGCGAGGCACTCGCCCAGCCTGTGAGCGCTACGTCGAAATATGTTTTTGAAGTCTGTAGCATGATCAAGCTGTTCGATACGGTTCTATATTCATGCCAGGATCCGAGTCCTACTCCTCGAGAATTATAAGCAGATCTTAAAGTATAGGAGATGCCGTTGTTGATGCACGAATTGAAACGATCCCCATCGCATCGAAGTGCGACTCCAGCGAACTTCTTCATTGGTAAACACCGGATAAGGGCGCCCCCATGTCCGGAGATGAAAATGAATCGCGTTTGCCGAGATTGTACACGACATCTCCCATATAACGTTTTTCTTCACCACGGTCACTTCCAAACGGGAGGGGGATGCGTAGAAGGAAGAGGAGGTGGGTGGTGACATTTGCGGATTGGTCCTTGACATCGCTCGAACGTGTGCATCCGGCGAGGAACATCCTGGATCATCGTGCGGAAAATATGCAGGAAATCGAAAAACGCACGAGACATGGACGTCCGACCAATGGCCAGGGTCGGATTCGTTGCGTCGCATTCGTTTGCGTTCGGTCGGTTCGGTTCGTTCGGTTGCCGTTTCGCCGTTGCGCCCTTGTTGGGTTGTTCGCAGCCTGTTGGTTCCGATCGCGTTGTCGGCTCGGCCGGGCTTGGGTTTTCCTGTCACCGTCGGCGGTTTCGGAAAGGAGAGGCTGAGGAGGAGGAATAAGAGGGTGCAGAGTTCAGGCAAGTGGATTCCTCGTCTTCGTTCGACGTTTTGCACGATCAGGCCGCCCGCTTGCTGCTGACATCGTTGCCATATTACGTTTCGTTGATCGCTGGTGCTTGCCGTGAACCAGCCACGCGCCAAGGGGGCAGGGGGAGGGGGGAACGCTTTTGAAAAACACCGTTGCTTTTTCGGAGGCGCGGGACTCATCTACAGGTTCAGGTGCATTGCCGGCGCCGTCCAAGGATCAGTTTTTTTTGAGAAGCTTTCCCCTTCCCCCAAACCCCCTTTTTTGCGCGCCGCCAAGAGGAGGAGGAGGAGGAGGAGGAGGAGAGGAGAAGAAAAGGAGGAGGAGGACGAGGACGACGAGGAGGAGGAGGAGGAGGAGGAGGAGGAGGAGGAGGAGGAGAAGGAGGATTAGGAGGAGGAGGACGAGGAGGAGGAGGAGGAGGAGGAGGAGGAGAGCAGCAGGGCGCGGGCGCGGGAGCGGCACGGCGAGCGAGTGACACAGCATGCCTCCCCGCGCGGCGGGGCGCGAGGGATCCCCGCTGCACCGGAAGCAGAGGGCGCTGCACGTCGAGGCGGGGCGGCCGCGGCCCCCTGCACGCGCCCCCATCGGGGGACGTTTGTGCCAGTGTGTCGTCTCTCCCATCGGCGTCCTTCATCACACACTGCCACTGGCCGCGGGTCGCTGGATCCTGGGGGGGCGTCACGCGACCCCCCGCCGACCAAAACGTGTGTGTTTGTTGGAGAGAGAGAGAGAGAGAGAGAGAGAGAGAGCGTGCGTGTGTACCGTTCGGTTGGTGTTGCATCTGGCCGTTGAGGCGAAAAGTGTGCATGTGTTTGTACAGGCTGCCTGGCAGCCCGATCAATGCAGAGGCTTCCGCCACGTTCTTCCGACCGTCCACAAAACATCCCACGTTTCCCCAGAGAAGGGGTCGAACGTCACGATGGCCACGTCACGAAAACATGTTCAATACGAAAACATGTTCAATGCGTTACTGCATTGTGAAGGTGGAAGCTATGCGGTGTAAGCTGTGTGGTGGAAGTTGTGGGGTGTAAGCTATGAGGTGTGAGTTGTGGAGGTTAAAGCTATGCGGCGTAAGCTAGATGGTGTAGACTATGGTGTGTGAAATGGAGGTGGAAGCTGTGGGGTGCAAGCTCCGCGATGTGAGCTATGATGTAAAAGCTATGCGGTGCAGCACACGTGGTGTAACCCATGCGGCGTAAGTCAGGTGGTGAAAGCTGTGTCGTGCAAGCTCAGAGCATGCGACAACCACGAGTGGCCCGCGAGGCGGCACGGGCGGCAGCGTGGCGCAGCTTCGGGAGAAGCCCACCCCGCGCACGGGGCACCCACGGCGCGCCCACGGGGCGGCACGCACGGCAGCGCGGCAGAACCTCTGCGCACCCGCCCAGCGCACGGGGCGCCCACGAGGCGCCCACGAGGCGGGACGGGTGGCGCAGCCTCGACAGACCCAGCCAGCGCACGGGGCGCCCACGAGGCGGCACGGGCGGCCACGTGGCGAAAGCCCAGAACGTTGAGTGCTGTGCGGCCTATCCCGCCACCGTGCTTGCGCTGCGGCTCAGAGGTCCAGGACCAGGGAGGAGAAGGAGGAGCAGGACGGAGGATCAGGACGAAGACTTCGAGGAGTGCGGCCGCGTCGGTCGCGCCAAATCAGTTGGCCGCTGTGCGCGCGAGCATGCGCGGGCTAGCGCGGCCGCAGAGATGGACCAGCCAACGCCTAGCACTCACCGCAATCGCCGCCGCATGGGTGTTGCAAACCAAGTTGCGGGTGGGTGGGCGGGATGCTTGCAAGAGCATCGAATGTGTCAATTCGTTCGCCAAAATCAATTATACCACAGATCGCATCACTTATATTGCAGCACATCGATTGTTCCACATAGATTGCACAACACAGATTGTAAATTATATAATACACCACATACATATATATATATAGTACACCACCTACCTATGCATATATAGCACAACCTAGATTGCACCACGCAGCTTTTACAGCATTCGTTGCACCACATAGGTTGCACAGTAGGTGCTACACCACATAGACTGCACCACATCTATTGCACCACATAAGCTACACAGCATATTCTGCAACACGTCGAATGCTCCCGATATATTTCACAACACAGACTACACCACATAGATTGCACAACTTGGATTGCTAGAAACACACCGATGAAGACCCACGCTGGTCAGCATGGGTAAACTGTGATGTTCGCGCGCTTCTTGTTGCTCCGTCTGCTCGACTCCCGCCGCTCCTACGCGCGCGACTGCGACGCCAAGGAACAACGTGTTTATGAGCGCGCGTGTGCTGGAGGGTTCCATCGTCTTCGGCACCGCCTGATTCCGGAGCTTTGCCCACTCTTGGCCTCGACGTGAGGCCCCTCCTTCTGCCTTCCCCCCTTCTGTCAATTAAAGCTGTGCGCGGCCCGCTTAGCTTCGACCAGAAGAGGTGCGCTCTCGACCCGCGAATCAAAAAAAGTGTGTTGGAGGGCACATTCGCGGCGCGATGCGACGATGCGGCGCGATCCTCTGACCCCCGTCTGCCCCCGGACCCACGGCCCCCGCAGGGCGGGGAGAAGAGGACCGACCGCAACACCGCAGGCCTAGAGGTTGACACCAGCACCAACTTTGGCGGTGTGCCTCCACCAAGGGAAGAAGATCCCGATCTCGGTGATGGCGGTAATCTTCTGGTCTCCAAGGTGGCCGAAATATTACCACCAGCACCGAAATCTGGGATCACCTGCACCCCTGTGGAGGCTACCCCCCGTGATGGTGTCGGTGCCGATTTTCCAGGCCTCCAGCAATGGCAGGAGAGCCGGGCGGGAGCGACAGGACAGCGCGGAGCGGGGGCGGGCCCGCGGAGCCAGCCACACGCCGTGGGAGGGTGGGCCCTCGATCTGGCGAGCCAGATTCTCGGCGGACTGCGGCTGCCGAGCGCGTGGGGCAGATGTACTACGACGCGAAGATCGGGACAAAATCGGATCGGGATAACTCGAAATCTCTGAGAATCGGCGGGTTTGGAGGATGTATTGGGCGCCGCGGCCGCTCCAGAGCGTTCCGGAACGCTCTGAGAGCGCTCCGGAACGCTCTGGAGCGATTTATCCCGATCCTAGCCCTGTTTTAAGATGGAGACATGCATGAGAGCCACAGAAGATGTCCCGCGCACGCGTGTGCAACCGCATCTCGGGATCTGCGAGTCACGCGCGATCCGATCACCCTCTGAAGGCCCGGGCGCCGCGACCTGTGTATACGTCAAGCAGGGCGCTCTCGCCCGGTTTTGGGGCCTCCGGCCTCGATCGGTACGATCGAGATGGGTACGGACGGAATGGGGACGAGGACCAGCAGCAGTTGCTGCCCATTGTGAACAGGATTCGCCGTATGTGTCGCCGCGAACGTTTTCCACTTGAGGCACAAACTCGCCTGCCCAACAGCGGCTGCTGACCGTTTTGCACAACATTTGTTTTTTAGGCACCGTAACCATCTTAGTCGTTTGTCATTGCGGACGTGCCGTCTCAAGCCCAGACATCCATCCGTCGACATGGTTTGTTGAATGTGCGTCCGCAGAGGTCCCGACCCCGTTTCCTGCGGGCAGTCTGCAGCCCCAGATTCGTCTTGGATGCTGAGATCGAGGACAGACGCCGGGGTTGAAAAAAAATACGTGTCGACGGAGATTTGGGGAACCTCGAGGTGCAAAGGATCGGAAGGGGCTGGGGCCAGGATGCACTGCTCCAGAGCGCTTTCCGAGAGGTCCGAGCGGTCCGGAGCTTTTTGGAACGGCCGCGACCCGGTACACTCCCCAGAGCCGCCGGATGTCAGAGATCCCCGATGCGTTCTGGTCCGATTGTGGCCCAGCCCCGGCCTGGTCTCGCGAGGGTCGGGGGTCCCCAGCCGGTGCGATGACCACACCGCGCGGCGAGTCGGTGGGGAGCCGAGCTGCTCCGAGGCCGCCGCGCGGCTCGGAGCCTCGGGCCGTGCTCCGAGGACGCCTCGGGCGCCCGGCGGGCTTCGGGGCCCCGGGCCCGTGCGGCGACTTTTGACCGCGCGGTGCGGTCGTCGCGGGCTCCGAGGCCACCTCGGGCTTATGTTCTAAGAACATTGTTTTTTTGTTCTCAGAACATTTTGGGGTTCTAAGAACATTTCGTGGCAGGACTATAGGAATGCCGGGACGGTCGGTCCCTGCTCAATGGGCGAGGCGGGCGCCCTGCAGCTCTTCTGGGAGCGCTTGTCGGCCCTCCGGGCCCGCGGCGTCTCCTCCCGAGCTCCGTCTGTGGAGGGGGGGAGCGCGCGCCCTGGGGCCCCGGGGGAGGCGGCCTGCAGGTGCCGAGGAGAGAGAGCTCCGGGCCTTCTGCTCCTGCTCGGCTCCTCGCCCTCGCCCGGCGCGTCGCCCCCCTTGGATCCTCGGAGGTCAGCTCTTCCAAGAGCACTTGCGTGAACTGGGCAGCAGCGGCAAAAAACAAAAAAAAAAAAAAAAAGAGAGCTCCAGGCGCGCCAGGCGCCGCGACGTGCTGTGCGATCCTCCTCTACTGCACTCCCTGTGCTGCCGAGCAGCGCGGGCCCGCGCCCCCGCGCGCGAGGCCGAGGCGACCCGCGCTCGGGCGGGCCGCGTCGAGGAGGTCCCCGCGCCGCCGCCGCCCGCCGAGGAGGAGCCGGCGGCGCCCGCCGGGGCGGCCCCACCTTCGGCGTCCGCCACCGTCCTCGGCGGCGTCGTCGACGTCGACGACGTCGTGGCCGTCGACGGACGGCGTCGCCGACGCCGTCGACGCCGTCGCCGCCGCCGTCGCCGCCCTCGTCCTGGTCGGCGTCGTCGCCGCGGTCGCTGCTGCCGTCGCCGGCCTCCGCGGAGAGTCTCAGGAGGAGGGTGAGGAGGCAGAGGAGGAAGGCGAGAGCAGAGAGTATACAGAGAAGGGCGAGGATGAGGCGGAGGTGGACAGGGGTGCGACGGCAAGACTTACTTCAAGATTACAGACATGCAGGCAACCGTGAAGCAATACGTCGGATACCTAACTATGAGACAAGGTTATCGGCATCGACAGAGTCAAGTGCGGCACATACCCACCAGACGTCGCACCAGACGACCGCGAAGAAAGACCACACCACGCACAGAGCTGCTACCAGGTACCTAGTGGACGTCCATCAAGAGCTACCTCGTTGCTGAAACCCGTCCATGGGCTACTTCAGTTTATTGTCCTTACTACTACCTCGACCCCGACGTCGAGGAGCACGTGGGACTTTCGACATCACTACCACTCCTACCATCCCCACGCTTAAGAACGCGATCGAAATCGGAAACGACCTTCGGGGGAATTGTCGACGTCGACGGCGTCGTGGCCGTCGACGGCGTCGCCGCCTGCGTCGAGAATGTCGTCGACGCCGTCGCCGCCACCGTCGCCGCCCTCGTCCTGGTCGGCGTCGTTGCCGCGGTCGCTGCTGCCGTCGCCAGCCTTCGCGGAGAGTCTCATGAGGAGGGCGTGGACGCAGAGGGGGAAGGCGAAAGCAAGGAGGGGATAGAGGAGGGCGTGAACGAGGCGGAGGTGAAGGGGGGGTGCGACGGCAAGACGTACTTCAAGATTACAGACATACAGACATCCGCGAAGCAATACGTCAAATATACGTGAGACAAGGTCAGCGACATCTACAGAGTCAAGCGCGGCACATGCCCATCCGACGTCACACCAGGCGACCGCGAAGCAGGACCACACCACGCACAGCGCGTACCAGAGCCGCTACCAGGTACTTCTTGGATGCCCATCAAGAACCACCTCATTGCTGAGACCCGTCCATGGCCTACTTCAGTCCACTATCCTTAATGCTTGCCCTTCGGCCCCGACGTCGAGGAGCACGCGAGACGTTCGACATCACTACCAGTCCCATCATCGCCGCACTTAAGATTGCGATCGAAATCGGAAACGACCCCGGGTGGCACGTCGTCGTCGCGGCCGCCACCAGCCTCCGCGGACAGCCCCAGGAGGATGGCCCGGGGGGGGTATGAGGGGCAGAGGAGGAGTCCTCCAGGAGGAGGGCGAATGACAAGGGGGAGGCAGCAGAGGGCGAGGGCGAGGCAGAGGTGGAGGGGTGTCTGCGACGGCAAGGCGCACTCCAAGATAGCAGACATCGAGGCAACCGCGAAGCAGTAGGTAAAATATATGTGAGACAAGTTCATCGATATCTACAGGGCCAAGTGCGGCGCATACCGCGAAGGAGGACCTCGCCACGCACAGTATGTGCCAGAACCGCTACTGGAGCCACCTCATTGCTGAGATCTGTCCATGGCCTGCGCCACTCCACTTCCCCTACGACTTAAATTTCGGCCCCGACGTCGAGGAGCACGTGATGTCCGACATCGTTGCCGCTCGCACCATCGCCACGCCTAAGAATGCGATCGACATCGAAAGCTACCCTCGGCGGCGTCGTTAACGTCGACGGCGTCGTAGCTACCGACGGCGTCACCATTGGCTTTGACGACGTCGTCGACGCCGCCGCCGTCGCCGCCCTCACCCAGGTCGGCGTCGTCGCCGCGGCCGCCGCTGCCGTCGCCCGCCTCCACGGAGAGTCTCAGGAAGAGGACGGGGGGGGCGGAGGAGTTGGGCGAATGCAAGGAGGAGGTAGAAGAGGGCGAGGATGAGTCGAAGGCGGAGGTTGGGCTGCGATGGCAAGACGCACCTCAAAATCTCAGGCATCAAGGCAGCCGCGAAGCGCTGCATCTCATGCATGTGAGACAAGGTCATCGACATCTGCAGAGTCAAGCGCGGCACATACCCAACGGGCGCCACACCACACGGCCACAAGAAAGGACCACCCCACGCACAGCACGTACCAAAGCCGTTACCAGACAAACATTGGATGTCCAGCGAGATCTACTTCATTGTCGAGACCCGTCCGTGGCCCATTCGGTCCACTCCCTCTACCCCTTACCCTCCGACCACGGCGCCGAAGAGCACGACTTGGCATCGCTCGGACGTGTGCATTTTTCCTTCGGCGAGGACCATCGAGGAGCATCCTTGATCATTTGGCGAAAACACGCACGAATCCGAAAACAACACAGGGAATGGACGTCCGAGCGATGGCCAGTGCCCCTACCCCTTACCCTCCGACCACGGCGCCGAAGAGCACGAGACACCCGACACAACCACCACTCCTACCAGTGCCGCGCTCAAGAATGCGGTCGACATCGGAAACGACACTCGGCGGCATCGTCGACGTCGACGGCGTCGTAGCTGTCGACGGCGTCGTCGTCTGCGTCGACGTCGTCGACGCCGCCGCCGCGGTCGTCGCAGTCATCGCCCTGGTCGGCGTCGTCGCCGCGGTCGTCGTTGCCGCCACTGGCCTCAGCGGACAGTCCAAGGAGGAGGGCGGGGAGCAGGGGAAGAAGGCGAATGCAACCAGGAGGTACCAGAGGGCGAGGATGAGACGGAAGTGGAGGCTGGCTTGCGACGGCAAGAAATTCTTCCAGGTTTCAGACCGCAGGGCAGCCGCGCCGCAATACGTCTCGTGCACGCGAGACAGGGTCATCGACATCTACAGAGCCAAGTGCGGTTCATACCCCACGGGCGTCACACCAGACGCTTGCGAAGAAGGACCACACCACGGACAGAATGTACCAGAGCCGCTACCAGGTATTTCATGGATCCCCATCAAAAACTACCTCATTGATGAGCCGGCCATGGCCTGCTTCAGTCCACTTCCCCTACGACTTACCCATCGGCCCCGTCGTCGACATCACGACCAGTCCTACCATCGCCATGCTCAGGAAAGCTATCGAAGTCGAAAGCGACCATCGGCGGCGTCTTCGTCGGCGTCGACGACGTCGTCGATGCCGTCGCCGCCGTCGTTGCCGTTTTCGTCCTGTTCGGCGTCGTCGCCGCGGTCGTTGTTGTCGTCGCCGGCCTCCGCAGGAGAGTTTCAGGCAGAGGGTGGGAAGGCAGAGGAGGAGGGCGAAAGCAGTGGGGAGGTAAAAGAGGGTGAGGACGAGGTGGAGGTTGACGGGGGTGTGCGACGACAGACATCAGGGCCGCCGCGAAGCAATAGGTCAAATACACGTGAGACAAGGTCATCGGCATCTTCACAGTCCTGCGTCGAGGAGCGCGTGGCGTTCGACATCACTACCACTCCTACCATTGCCACGCTCAAGACGGCGATCGAAATCGGAAACGACTCTCGGTGGCGCCTGGGGGTCCCGCCATCGCGTGGCCGGATGTCCGATTGGGATCGCTGAAGAGCATTGTGGCGGACATGGCGTGGAGCGTTGATCAAAGCACGCAGAGCCTGGACTGGCGGTTGGGCAGCAGCCGTGGAGTTTGACGCATGGACAGGCCTTCTGCGCACATCGAAGCAGTCGGCATCGGCGAGAGCCAGATCATTCCTTCTGGAGCACTGCTCAGCAGAGGAAGCCCAAGAAAGTCCTCATCGTCGTCGTTTCCGTCCTCGTCGTCGCCGCCGCAATCGCCGTCGTTGTGATCCTCAGCTCCGTCGTCGTCGCCATAGTGGTGGGGGTCGTCACCGTCGCCGTCGCGGCGGTCGCCGTTTTCGTTGACATGGTGGTGGCGGCGGTCGTCGTCCTCGTCATCGTCGCCGCCGCCATCGTATCCGCCGTCGTCGTCGTCGTTGTCGTCGCCGTGGTCTTCGTCGTGGTCGTCATCGTCGTCGCCGTGCCCGCCCTCGTCGCCGAGGAGGCCGCGCCATTGGCGCCCGCCGACCACATGCCGGACGCGTTGCGGCGGCTGGGCGGAGAAAACTATCCATTGCAACCAAGCTCACCACGAACCAGTACGGTATAAATGGGCACGGGAAGAATGAGAACGAAGACCGACAGCAGTTCTTCGGACGGGGCCAGGACGAGGATAAGTCCGTTCCAGAGCCTTCCGGAACGCTTGCAGAGCTTTCTGGAACGCTCTGAGAAGGCCGCGGCGCCCGAAACATCTTCCAGAGCCGCCGGATCTGAGAGATTCTCAACTTATCCTCACCCGATTTTATCGTCGGCCTGGTTTCGTTTTTGTTTTCGCCCATTTTGAACTGGGCTCGCTGTCGGTGTCGCCGCAGATGCAGCCTATTTGACAAAAAGTCGGCTGCCAAACTCGGGTCGGACGAAGGGGGGGAGATTGGAAAAGGGGGGTTGCGAAATATGCTGCATGCAGCAGGTTTCGGCCCCACCGCCAGGCGCCTTTCTCCATGCATTGGCGCCTCCGACGCCGGGAGGCGCCAGGAGAAGCAGCTACGTGAGTTGATTTGCTGCGCCCCCCCTTTGCCATCCCCCCCCTTCCATTCCGCCCTAGCAGACAGCGGGAGCTGCCAGATTCGGGCAACGTGTGCTGTTGGGTACTGTACCCATGTTGTTCGCATCTTTCCCGGGCGTACCAATCGAACAATACCGCCTCGATGATTAAACGATTGCTCTCGAAAATCGGGGCGAACTTTCTCCGTCTCCATTCGCGAGAACCGAGGCGAAGGCTTGCACTCGAAGATGGAGGCGGACTCGAAGGTTGGAGCACAGCCGAGACATGGCCGCGCGAACGCGGAGCGAGCTCACGAGCCCCTTCGCCGAGTTGGCCGGGGCCCTCCGGAGCCGGTCCTTGACGCGTCGCATGCCCCCGACCGGCCCATCCCGGAGCAATCGCCGGGCGAGTTGCCCTGATTAAGAAGGACGAGGGAGGAGGAGGAGGAGGAGGAGGAGGAGGAGGAGGAGGAGGAGGCGAGGAGGCGGTGGAGGAGGAGGAGGGGGGGGGGGGCGGCTCGGGCCAAGCTAGACTTCCGTCGGGCCTGCCCCTCTGCAGGAGGAGTATTCGAGAGCAGTCCAGAAATAATCGGGGAACGAGTTTCGAGTGTTTTTTTCATATGCGTGAATGTGTGTTGACTATGTTTAAATGTTCGCCCAAAATCCGCCTGTAGGAGGACATGCCCGACCTCGAGCTAAACGGAGTGCTGTCGATGTCGTGGACCGTTTTCGTTTTGACTTCGTTTCGCAGCGTAAGGCAGAACCAAGACAAGGCGAAGGAAAACGAAAACCACACGAGAACGAGAAACACCAGTTGGGTGCAGCAGTTCAGCCAACCCCTCCTGAAACTTTCTTGAGAAAGGTGTTAGGAAGGTTTTAGGAAGGCTCTTCCAAAAAAAAACTCCTGAGGAAGGTTTTTAGTAAGGTTGTAGGAAGGTTATTCCAAAGTTACTCCGACGGAAAAACCCACATGGAAATCCTTTCGGCTAATCTGGAAATAACCTTCACTGTCGTCCTCGCGATTAGTGAAGCGTCAAGATTGTCTTCTCTGCGTCATTATCATTCTCGCCCTGGCGCAGGGCCCTCACCCGCTCCCCGCGTTCCCCTTGCCTCACCCTCCTGCTGTCTGTTTCGTCACCCACCACCTCTTCTCTTGTCTACCAGAGCGCGCGCGTCGATTTTCCTCGACGCCGTCGCCGCCTCGGCCAGCGCGGGCGCATTCTCGAATGGCCGCGTCGCGCGGCCGTTGGGACAACCCCGCAGGCCCGGCCGTTGGGGCAACCGCGCGAACCGTTGGGGCGCGGGAGCAAGCCGTTGGGACAACCCCGCAGGCACCGAGCTTGTCACGGCCGCGCTCAGGCGGCTACCACCCCCAGCCCAGACGCAAGGGTTTCCCCCTGCGCCCGGCCGCCGTCGTCGTTCTCACCTCCTGTTCTTCCTTATCCTCCTCACCACATGGGTCGGGCGAGTCGCCTTCCGAAGAGCGCATAGGGAGGGGTTCCCGCCTGAGACTGCCTCACAGTTCACTCACAGACGAGGCCCCCCGCCTGATATTGTAGTGGCCTTCGGCCAGTGCCGCCGATCCAGGCCGCCCGGTGTTATTCTCCAGACGCAGACACTATGGGCGCACACTCAAACGCACACACACACACAGTCACACCACCTAGTCCGCGCCGCAGACATGCATACACACACACACCACCACCCACACACACACATACCAGTTAGAAAACGCACGCGCGCGCACGCCGAGCGGATTCACATATCACGCGGACACCTCACGCACGCACGCGACCAAATGCACATACGGCAGACACACATACAGAGACACACTAGGCGCACGCCAGACACTAGCACGCACAGACATTCGCAGAAACGCACCACACACAGACATTCGCACGGCAGCACACACCTGATTTCGCTTGGGCGTCGCGTGTGATGGGGTTGGTGGGGGGTCTGTGCGAAGCATAAGTCTGTTCCGACAGGCCAGACCGGTGTCGCGGGGTCACGCGCCGAAACTCCGGGACGATGTGGCGCGAGCGGTAGAGGCGAGCCTATCGGCGCAAGGACGCCCTCTTGGGGCGTTTTTTGAGCCATCTTAGGAGCCTCCTGTCAGGGCGTCTTGGGGGTTTCTTGGGGGTTTTGGGGGGCCCTCTTGGGGGCTCTTGGGGCCTCCTGGGGGCCTCGTGGGCTGGAAGGCTAGATTTTTTCCGCTTTTCGTCCCTCTTTTGGGTCCTCTTTGGGCCGTCTTGGGGGCCTCTTGGGCCGTCTTGGGCGGCTCTTGGGCCGCCCTGGGGCCCTCTTGGGCCTCACAGTTCACTCACAGACGAGGCCCCCCGCCTCATATTTCCTCCATATTCAGGCCTCGGGAGCCCCAAAGTGACGACAGTTACACGGGTGAGGATGACCCGCTCGGGCTAAAAACATGAAGAGAAGGCCCCCCACCTGGGCCTTGTTCAAAAACATAATTTGCGGGCCACATAAGGAGGGGGCTCCCGCCTGAGACTTCCTCACAATTCTAGACGCTTCGCGTAACCCTACCAGCCCATCCAGAAACGATGCCCAGAGGAATTGCCTCGATCAGGGAAGTGGGCAGCACGCAGAGGAAGGGTCCCCCAGTGGAGGCCTCTTGGAGCGTCTTGAGGGCTTCCTGGCGGTCCCCGACGCCTGTTCGAGCGCCCTGGGTGCCTCGGAGAGCTGCTTGGGGCCACTTGGGGGTCTCTTTGGAGCCAATCGGGTATGGCCAGGACCCCGGGTAAGAGGACCGGGTTAGTGGTAGGGCCCTGGGGCCCATGAATTGGCCAGACTCACTAAACCAGGTTTGCCGCAACTGTGTTTCGGGTGACGGCAGTTCCGGTTGGTGGAAATGGGGCGGGGGGGCGCCCCCGGTACAAATCACTAAACCAGGGCCCACGAAACCCAGTTCTGCCAACGCCCGAGCCTATTGGAGGCCTGTTGGGCGCCTGTTGGGGGATGCGATGGCTGTCAGGGTCGCGGATGCTGCCGCTGTCCTGCAGCCGGAAGCGGGCGCCTCGGCGCTGGCCCACCGCAGGCATCCGCCGCGCTCGGCGGCCGCCGCCCGGGCGGCGCGCGGCCGCGGTCGCCGGCGATGCGTGCCTGGCCCCTGCGCCGCGCAAGGGTCGCGCCGAGTCTCAGGAGGGGAAAAAACACACAGACACAATTCATCGTCGATTCCCCAGAAAATGTGGGAATATATATATATATATATATATATATATATATATATATGGGAAATGGGAGAAGACAAAAAAAAACAAAAATATGAGAAAATACCGGCAATAGTTTTTTTTTTGTGTGTTTATTTGTGTGTCCTGGGGCCCCTTCAGAGTCCCCCCCGCCCCCAGGCCGCGACGCCGAAGCGCGCGGCCTTGTCTCTCGCCCCCTGGCGCATGAGTTGGGACATCGTTGCGGCTCTGATGTTCATCAAACTTGCGTTGGGTTCGCGCCTCCATCTGAACCAAAAAGCCCGTTTCGGTTGAGACGTCCTCGCGATTCTCTCTTACATTGGCCACGGCACGAAAGTGACGGTGGCGATGTGTTGCCAGCGCCGAGGCGAGAGCGCCGTTTGGACGGACTTTTGGCCATTGCACGGAAGTTCGGCCAGATAGCGATAGTTAGGAGGAAAATTGTATCAACTGAAGTTTTTGAAGGTCCGCGCGGACTGATCGGATCGGAGTTGGGACCTCCGGCGCCGCCCCTGTCGCGCTCCGCGCACCAGGGAGGGGGTACAGCGCCGATCCAAGAGGACCTCGCGGATTTCCGAGTGCTTATCTTCATACCGATGT